CTTGAATTTCAGTGGTCATACCAAAGACCATTTTTCGGGGAAGGATGTGAGGAATGGTCGCTAGGGCTTCGCATTTTTGGCCAAATCATTGAAAAATGAGTTGAGCTTTGTCCTCATTGAAGGAAAGACACGTAGGACAGCCAAGTTTTGTCACTTGACATTACTGTTAGGCCAACTCGCTGTTCCTTTTCCAATTTCCTAACTGCTCTTTGATGTGTGGTTAGGAGAGATGAGGCTGCGTTCTTACCGAGCTGCATTGCTTTGCAATGCATGGTCATCACCTCTGATCGGTGTCCAACATTCATGATGGTGAGGTATCACCTTGACTTACGTCCTTGTGAAGGCAAATACTACTTCCATAACTCCTCCATTTGGGGGGTTAAAGGACAATTTAACAGTCCACTGGGACAGATGAAGTAGTAAATACTACCACAGTAATTCAATGAGAGCTGTTCCCACTTCCACAATTTTTACAATTTCAACTTAACACACCTGAAAGTAAATTAGATGGAACCTGGATGAACACACCTAAAGGAAAAATTGCAACCAAATGGGCAAAGGTCTTAAAAATCAGCCTTTTTTTCTTCCTCGAATCGGCTTTGTTACCGTCCTCCAAAAGTTTCGATCACCATTCTGAAGAGGGCTCGTCTTGATTTAAAGAAAATATATGCAGGGCTGTCTTGACATTTGCTGAAACTAGAAGTCCACAGCACGTAAACTATGAAAATAATATAGAGAATGTAAGGACTTGTCAGAACCAATTAACTCAATCATTTGTTTGTGAAATAATTTTAAAAGATGCAAACAAGTCATGTAAAATTTAGCCAAATTGAATGAAATTAGCATAATTAGCAGCTGAATGAGCAAAAATGAAGGAATGTAGTTTTTTCCCTGGAAAAAGACATCAGCGTTAGTGAGAAAACAAGACAAAACCTTTTAACGGACTATTCCCTAACACAACTTTTTCTTTCACTCCTTGGAGCAATAAAGGGAACACCGAAAAACAGGTAAGATATTCTAAAACTTTTATTAAGTATTATTTTGTCACTGTTTTGCTCTATGCACTACAGGTAAATTCGGATGTATAATAGCAATAAAAATAAGCTAAGGAGAAAAAGGGGTGAAAGTCTTTGGCTCCCTCCCTAGAAAAGGAAACAACGTGAAACAACCGGAACAAGTTAGATAACTAAGCTCGAATTTGGCTATAGAGGGACAACGAATTGCTCGGGTAATTCGAAGGCAATAATCTGACCTTCATTTATGCCCTTCCAGAGAATACGAAAATATTGGCTGAACGAGGAGGCAGGTCGCCATGACCTTCCTTATTGTGGATATGTTATACTTCCTTCACATTTCCTCTACAATTCGTATCAACAAATCCCTATATCTGTTTAGGCTCAACCAGTTAGTTGGTTAACAATCT